AAAAGGGAAATTGAACCCGACGTTAATCGAACACGCAACCTTCTGATCTGGAGTCAGACGCGCTACCATTGCGCCACGGATCCACTTAACTTATAATCATAAACAACAGGTCCCTCCACTTCCAACCATGGCTTCGAATTATTAGCGAAAAGCAATGTTTTTTTTTAAGCGTTTTCAAATGTCGACTTCTAGTGCTAATTTTGCTGTATAATTTGTCAAGTTTGAGTGTACGAGGAGGGTGCTTTAGATTTCAATAGCAGTAGCTCTAACAAGTACTTACTTAAGAGAGCATCATAGTGTTTTTCTTTTTTTTCGAAGGGCATCATAGAATGATGTAGTGTACTTGTTGACTTAGTTATACTAGAATCGGGGGGAGCCTAGGTGAGTCTAGGTGCTCTATAGTGAGATTTCATCCCAAAATCAATTGGTGATGGAAGAAGTAGTCCACTAGGCTTATATCTTAGGCTCATTTTCCCTATAGAATCAATGTGAGACAACTCACAATTGATATTTCAACAAATTATAATATATTCCATCAACATTATAATTTCATTCACTAAATATCTCCATTTATAAAAAACATTGCAACTCGTTCATATTATATAATCATAAAACATTGCAACTCATAAGAGGCATGATAAACTGTTGGAAACAAAATAAATCATGATGAAAAGATAAAAGACAATGTTTTGGCTATATAGGGTTTATCACAGAAGAGGAAAAATGGCAGACTTGCTTTTCATATGTTGAAAGAACCGAGAAGGAGAACATACATATTTATATAGTCTCCAATAGACCTACCTATAACCTAATAGGATAACAACTAGCCTAGGTACTATAATGAGCTGTCAAACCCAGCTTTACAAAGGGCAAACATTTTAAAATTTAGTGCTCAGAGTTTGTTACAAAGAATTGGTGCATGTGGTCATGCATGGTCTCAATTGTGACGTGGCATGTGACGCCTGACTTGGCTAATCTGCTAACATCCCCCCGCAATTCGAGTGAGCTGAGAGACACAACATTCAACCGATTTCTCAAGCGAAGGAAGAATTGACCTGTCAAGGGCTTTGTTAATATGTCAGCATTTTGATCCAAGGCTGGAACATGGAGCACACATATGGTTTTATTGAGCACTTTCTCTCGAACAAAGTGGAGATCAACTTCGATATGTTTGGTGCGGCCTTGAACAACTGGATTGCAGGGCATGAAAACAGCACCAAGGTTATCAACCCATATATTTGGAGCAGGGAGCTTAGAAATGCAAAGTTCAGAGAGGAGAGTCTTAATCCATAGAACATCTGTGACAGCATGACCCAAGCTTCGGTATTCAGCCTCAGTACTGCTTCTGGATACAGTTTGTTGCTTTTTGGAGCTCCAAGATACCAAATTTTGCCCAACAAAAACACAATGTCCAGATGTGGACTTCCTATCATTAGGGTCAAAGGCCCAATCTGAGTCAGAAAAGGCTGAGTTGTGAAGGTGTGATGATTTTTGAACTTCATGCCATAGTTAGATGTCCCTGTAATGTACCTTAGAAGTCTTTTTGTGGCTTTCCAATGTGAATCAAGAGGAGATTGCATGAACTGGCTTAGCTTATTCACAACAAAAGTGATGTCTGGCCTAGTGATGGTGAGATATTGCAAGCTCCCAATTATCTGTCTATATAAGAGACCATCTGAGAATGGAGCACCTTCATACTTAGAGAGACTAGGTGAGCTGACCATAGGACTTGATATGCTTTTGCAATTATGCATGGCAGCTTTGTTAAGAATCTGTTGTATGTGGGTTTGTTGAGTAAGCAGGAGACCATCTGTGTTGTAAGTGACTTCCATGCCAAGAAAATGGTGCAAGGCACCCAAATCTTTGATAGGAAATGCCTTTGAAATGGATTGAATGATGTTCCTGATCACTGCTGGATTACTGCCTGTAAGAATCATGTCATCAACATAGACAATGACATAAATGATGTGGGCTGCAGTGGATTGAATGAATAAGGAGGTGTCTGTAAAGGAAGGTTTAAACCCCAAGCCAATGAGGATTGAAGTCAGCTTATCAAACCAGGCCTTAGAAGCTTGTTTCAAGCCATAAATAGCTTTGTGAAGCTTGCAAGCAAATCCAGGTGTCTTGTGTAATTCAAAACCAGGTGGCTCTTGCATGTATATATCAGTAGAGGAGTCAAGAGGCCCATGAAGAAAGGCATTATCCACATGTAATTGGTTGATTTGCGATCCTTTGTGTAGAGCTATGGTAAGCACTAATCTGATAGTGACAAGTTTGACCACAGGGCTGAAAATTTCTTGGTAGTCTATGCCAGCCACTTGTGTGTAGCCCTTGGCTACAAGCCTTGCCTTATGTCTGGATATTGAGCCATCAGCATAGTGTTTGGTTTTGAATACCCACTTACAACCTATTGGTGTTCTTCCTGTTGGAAGAGGGACAACATCCCAGGTGTGGTTCTTTGTTAAGGCTTGATATTCACTGTGCATGGCATCTTTCCAATGAGGGGTAGCAAGAGCTTCTGAGACAATGGTGGGCTCATTTTTGGAGATGAAAGAAGTGTAAGTCTTGGGTTTAAAGATACCCCTCTTTGATCTGGTAAGCATGGGATGGAGGTTGTTGTAGGGGTCTGGGTTTGTGTGTGGTGTCAGGTCGAGTAATGGTGGGGTGGTTTGTGAGGTTAGGAGAATGAGAGTGTGGAGAACTCATTGTGGTAATTTGGTTGAGGTTTTCATTTGAGGCTGTTGGAATCAGTGTTCTAAAAGTAGGCGCTCAACCAGCGCCTAGCGCCTAGAGCTCCTAGTCGGGGCCTAGGCGGCGCCTAGTCGGACCCAGAAATCATTATTAAATACCTTAGTTTTTTATTTATTTTAACTACCTACAAAATAAAATTATCTCAACTTATAATAAATTCACACAGCAAAGTCCAAATAATATATATATATATATATATATTAAAAAAAATGAGAACGAAATAATGTAATTAGTATTTAAAAAATAAAAAAAATAAAAATAAATTGAAAAATTGCTGCCGAGCCCGCCTAGGAGCGCCTATGCCTGCCTAGACGCCGCCTAATCGCCTGGCCGCCGAGCTCGCCAATCCCGCCTAGCAGCGCCTAGGGCCGCCTATGCCCGCCTAGGCGCCGCCTGGCCGATTTTTTCTGCCGATTTGTGCAAATCGGAGGCGCCCGGGCACCGCCTAGCGCCTAGGCCGATTTTTAGAACAGTGGTTGAAATTAATGGGGTGACTTGAGAAGGAGAGTTTGAGCTATGAGAAACTGAGAAAGGGTGTGGGTTGGAATTTTGGATTGGTGAAGTATGAGGTGGTGAGGTTGGTGGTGATAAGTGATTGGTGTTGTCAGTGGATGAAATGTACAAAGGTATAGTGAGGTTAATGCCAAATGTATGAATATGAGAATTTTCAGAATGTTGCTCAGTTTGCTTAGAACAATCAAAAGGAAAAATATGTTCATTGAATATAACATCTCTGGAAATTATGATCTTCCCACTCTTAAGGAGTACTTTGTATCCTTTATATTGAGAACTGTAGCCTAAGAACACTCCCAACTGAGATCTCATGTCAAGTGTATCATGTGTCTGGTATTTAAGGTGAGGAAAACAGACACAACCAAAGGTTTTGAGGTGATTGTAAGAAGGTGGTTTCCCATGCAATTTCTGAAATGGAGTTATAGATGATATGGTTTTGTTTGGGATTCTATTAATCAAGTAAATGGTTGTAGAAAAGGCTTCTTCCCAATACTCTTTAGGGAGTTTGGAATGAGAAAACAAGCTAAGGGCAACTTCAACCACCTACCTATGTTTCCTTTCTACAAGACCATTCTGCTGTGGAGTGTGTGGGCAAGATATTCTATGTAAGATCCCTTTTTCAGTGAACAATTTTCATAAAGGTTTAAATTCAGTGCCTCCATCACTTTGCACCATCTTAATCTTAAGATTAAATTGATTTTCAACCAAGTTCTGAAATTGAACAAAGGCTCTCAAGGTGTCTGATTTGTGGGAAAGAAAGTATATCCAAGTGAATTTTAAGTAGTCATCAACAAAAGCTACATAGTATGAACTTCCTGAGATAGATTTAGTGGGTGAGGGTCCCCAACGATCAGTATGTATAAGTTCAAACGGTGCTTTGGTTATATGAGTAGAAGACTGAAATGGAAGTTTATGAGATTTAGCTTGTGCACAATCTGAACAAAACAGATCTTTATTCATAACATAAGGGAGATTACAACTATTAAGAGCTATCTTGGTTACATCAAAGGAGGGATGTCCCAACCTTCTATGCCAAAGATCTAAGGGTTTAGCAGCACTAACAACTTAAACACTCCCTCTAATAGGCTGGTGATCTCTACTACTTGAAACTAGGTTGTCTTCATTCTTGTTGGGAACTCTACTTAACTTGAATGAATAGAGTCCATGCTTAAGAGTCCCTTTGAGAAGAGGAACACCTGAAGTTTTGTCCTTCACAACACAGACACATCATTATCCTTAGCAAACTGAGCAACACTTATCAAATTCTTTGCAATTTTAGGCACATGTAACAGGTTTTGAAGTTTAAATGAGTGCTGGGAGTGTTTAGTGTTTGAGGGACTTGTGAAAAGAGACTTACCAACATGAGCAATATCAAGCCCCGAGCCATTTCCAATCTGAAGTTTATTGGGTCCTCCATATTCTGAAGCCACACTAAGGTTTCCAAAATCATTGGTGATATGGTGAGATGCACCTGAGTCTGGGAACCACTCATTTTCAGCACTGGTACCAAAGTTTTCTTTTGTTGCTATCATGGATGAGGACTGGCTCACACTTTTGTTGCATAGAAAGGCCTTTGTTGGTGTGGCTGTGGCATGAAATCAGCATTGAACCTGTTGCAACACTTGTCTGCAGTGTGGTTGGTGTAGCCACAAATTTGGCACTGCACCCTTGAGTTAAAACTCCTTCCTCCTCTGCCCCTTCCTGATCTGCCTCTGCCTCTATATCCTTGTTGATTTCTTCTTTCTCTTGAGGCAGTGTTGTTGTGGAAAGGCTTGTTGCTTTGCACAGCCATATTAGCTGATGAAAGGTTTGTGCTCTCATTTGCAACAATGGCAGCTTGAAGCCTACTTTCAAAGGTAAGCAGCAGTGACATCACATCAATCATAGTAATTTGGTCTGGTCTGGCATTAATGCTTACTACCACAGCATCATATTCTGAGCTCAACCCACTCAGTACATGCATGATTTGGTCATGTTCAGTGATTATATGTCCACCAGTAGCTAGAGTATCACAGTACATCTTGACCTTGTTCACATACTCTCTAATACTGAGGTTTCCTTTCTTAAGATTCTGAAGTTGAAACCTATAGTGCATGGTCCTGGCTTTGGACTGAGTTGAGAGGCTTTGCTCAAGGGTGTTCCAGATCTGGGAATAGGTGTTCTTACCTATGACTAAGATGAGGATCGATTCAGACAAGGAGGAGAGGAGCCATGAAGCCAAGAGTTGGTCTTGTCTTTGCCAACTGGTATATTCTGGATTAACTTGCAGCAGCCCTTCTTCATCTCCTGGGATGAACCTCGTTGGAGGTTGAGTAGATCCATCAAGGTAGCCTTCAAGTCCAAAGCCTCTGACCGTGGTTAGCACTTATTGTCTCCAGATGAGATGATTTTCATTAGAGAGCTTTAAAGAAATTAATTGATTTTGGATCTGTATGGGTTGACAAGAGGAAACAGGGTTGTGACCGGCATTTGTTGTTGATTGACTAGACATTTTGAACCAAATGGATCAAAGCAAGTTATCCCTGCTCTGATACCATGTTGGAAACAAAACAAATCATGATGAAAAGATAAAAGACAATGTTTGGCTATTTAGGGTTTATCACAAAAGAAGAAAAAATGGCAGACTTGCTTTTCATATGTTGAATGAACCGAGAAGGAGAACATACATATTTATATAATCTCCAACAGACCTACCTATAACCTAATAGGATAACCACTAGCCTAGGTACTCTAATGATCTGTCAAACCCAGCTTTACAAAGGACAAACAATTTTGAAATTTAGTGCTCAGAGTTTGTTACAAAGAATTGGTGCATGTGGTCATGCATGGTCTCAATTGTGATGTGGCATGTGACGTGGAGTCTGACTTGGCTAATCTGCTAACATAAACAAAGAGAATGTTTACAAACGAAAGCCATGGATGAAATGCTTGCAGTTTCTTTGAGGTGCATTCTTCTTGTAAACAAGCGGCCGAACATCAGGCAGATCCTGGACGATTTGTGTTCGATATCGTCGTCTGTGTGAAATTTGTATATGTTGCTCCTTTGGGGGAATTTGATTCTTCAATGTGACTTGTTGTTTATTGGATTTGTATTCTTTTATTTTTTGATT